CTCAAATAAATCAATAACATCTTTTTTTTTTTTTTAATTAAAGAAATAGTAGAAGATTTAAAAAAAATGGAAGAATCTTCCATGTTTGTAGATTGGAAGAATTAATATCACCAAAATGTCCAGACTGCTAAAAGCAATTTACAGATTCAGTGTGAGCCCAATCAAAATATCAAAGACATTCTTCTCAGATCTAGAAAAAATGATGCTAAAATATATATGGAAACACAAGAGTCCCTGAATAGCTAAATCAATCTTATACAACAAAAACAAAGTTGGAGGCATCACAAAACCAGATTTCAAGACATACTACAGGGCAGTTGTAATCAAACTAACCTGGTACTGTCGGAAAAATAGATACGTAAGCCAATGGAACAGAACTGAAACTCCAGAAAATCAATCCACACATCCACAACTAATTTTTGACAAGGGAGCTATAATCAATCCCTGGAGAAAGGACAGTCTCTTCAACAAATGGTGCTGGGAAAATCTGATCTTTGTATGCAGAAGTATGAAACAAGACCCCTACCATATACGTTACACAAAAATCAACTCAAAATGAAAAAGTACCTAAATATATGATCTGATACCATCAAATTACTAGAAGAGAACACTGGAAAAAGTCTACAAGATATTGGCATAGACAAAGACTTCTTGGAAAAGACTCCAGAAATAGGCAGTCAAAGCCAAATTAGACAAATGGGATTATATCAAGCTAAGAAAGTTCTACTCTGCAAAGGAAAAATTCAACAAAGTGAAGAGGCAACCAACAGAATGAGAGAAAATATTTGCAAAATATAAAACTGATAAACAATTGCTATCCAGAATCTATAGAGCTCAAGAAACTCAGTAACAACAAAGTAAACAATCTGGTTAAGAAATGGGCAAAGGACTTGAACAGGCATTTTTCAAAAGATGAAATTCAAATGGCCAACAGACACATGAAAAATGCTCAGGATCACTAGCCACTAGGGAAATGCAAATCAAAACCACAATGAAACTTTACCTCACCCCAGTTAGAATGGCTCTCACACAGAAATCAAAAAACAAATGATGGCAAGCATGTGTGGGGAAAAAGGTACCCTAATCCACTGTTGGTGGGAATGTAAACTAGTACAGCCATTGTGGAAGACAGTATGGAGATATCTCAGAAAGCTGAAAACAGATATACCATATGGTCCAGGAATCCTACTCCTGGGAATTTACTGAAGAGAAATGAAATCAGCATATGAGTTATCTGTACCCCTCTGCTAAGTGCAGCTGAATTCACAATAACTAAGATATGGAATCAACCCAGTTGTCCATCAACTGACGATTAAAGAAAATGTAGTATATATACACTATGGATTATTACTCAATTTTGAAAAAGAATGAAACCCTGTGTTTTGCTACAAAATGGATGCAACTGGAAACCATTACACTTAGTGAAATAAACTAATCCCAAAATTACAAATACCATATGTTTTCCTTGATCCGTGGTAACTAAGAGTGCAAAAAAATTGTAATGTATAATTATTTTCATTGCAATCTGCATAAAGGGAAATATCATTATGTTCTTAGACTTGTATGTATAAATTATATTGAACCTGTTAAAAATTAATTAAAATTAAGGGGTCAGTGCTGTGGCATAGTAAGCTAAGCCTCCACCTGCGCACTGGCATCCCACATGGGTGCCTGCTGCTCTTCTTACAATCCTGCTCTTTGATTATGGCTTGGGAAAATGGTAAAGATGGCTCAAGTGCTTGGGTCTTTGTATCTACGTGGGAGACCCAGAAAAAGTTCCTGGCTCCTGGCTTCAGATCAGCACAGCTTCGGCCATTGCAGTCATTTAGGCAGTGAACCTGTGGATGGAAGAGTTCTCTCTTTGTCTCTCTCTCTCTAACTTTGCCTCTCAAATAATTAAATAAATCTTTTAAAAATTAATTAATGTTAAAATAAAAAATGAAATTAAAAAGTGCATGCTGTGCACATGTGGGTAAACAGCACACCATACCCCATAAATATGTAAAATTATTATAGGTTAATTTAAAAAAAGAAAAAAGAGCATCAAAAAGAGTTAGACAAATGAAAAGATGGAAATAATGTTTCTAAATCTGGGAAATTTACTGGGATAAAATGGAAACAGAAGCCCAGGTAGCAGCTTAACCTATTATGCAACAATACCAGCTCCCTAGTAAATTAATTTTAAACAATTTTTTTTTTTTTTTATTTGACAGGTAGAGTTACAGACAGTGAGAGAGAGACAAGAGAAAGGTCTTCCTTCCACTGATTCACTCCCCAAACGGCTGCTACGGCCGGTGCTGTGCCAATCCGAAGCCAAGAGCCAGGTGCTTCTTCCTGGTCTCCCATGCGGGTGCAGGGGCCCAAGCACTTGGGCCATCCTCCACTGCCCTCCCGGGCCACAGCAGAGAGCTGGACTGGAAGAGGAGCAACCAGGACTAGAACCCAGTGCCCATATGGGATGCCGGCACCGCAGGCAGAGGATTAACCAAGTGAGCCAGAGTGTCAGCCCCTAAACAATTTTTGAAAATGGTTTATTTCCAGGAATTTGATTTTTAGAAAATTTGTGTATAAAATTTTATTTTTAGATACCATGATTATATTAATCAATATATTCTTAGCTAAAGATGTTTTGGTTTAGTTATGAAAAAAGAAGTGAAAATTCATTTACTGTCTCAATAAGATTTTTTAAGGAGGTAAACGTCTGATGTAGTGGTTAAGATGCTATCTGAAACACTCACTTCCCTTACCGAAGTGCCTTGGTTCAAATCCCAGCTCTGCTTTCAATGCCAGCTTTCCGTTAATGTATACCCTTATGAGGGTTCAACTATTTGGAACCCTGCCATCAACATGGGAAACCTGGATTGAGATCTGGGCTCAGGCTTTGGCCCTGGTCAGCTCTGACTATTGTGGGCATTTGAGGAGTGAACCAGCATATGCAAGATCTCTGCTCATCTTTTTCTCTCTCTGCCTTTCAAATAAATAAAAATTTAAAAAATCTTGAAGAAAACAGAGTTAAAATCAGAAAAAAATTTCCTTTTTTCTGAAGCAAGATCATCTTTTTGTTTTTTATAACTAAATAAATATATTTTTTGAAAGAAGCTAAACACAATAGAAAAAGTACCATGTACCAACTAATTGAAGGAGGAACAAAAAAAACCCCCTCTCTTGTACTGAAAACTAAAGTTCCCCCCCAAAAATAAATAAAAATCCCATTATTTCCCCAGGGAATTTAACATAGCCTACCAACCACATCACTTTTCCTTTTTCATTTATTTTTTTAAAGATTTATTCACTTGAAAGTCAGAGTTATACAAAGAGAGGAGAGGCAGAGAGAGAGAGAGGGTCTTCCATCTACTGGTTCATGCCCCAATTGGCCGCAATGGCCAGAGCTGTACCTATCCGAAGCCAGGAGCCAGGACCTTCCTCTGGGTCTCCCACGTGGGTGCATGGGCCATCTTTTACTGCTTTCCCAGGCCATAGCAGAGAGCTGGATTGGAAGAGGAGCAGCTGGGACTAGAACCAGCGCCTATATGGGATGCTGGCGCTTCAGGCCAGGGCATTAACCCACTGCGCCACAGTGCCAGCCCCCACTTTTCCTTTTTCAAACTGACCCTTAAATTTGAAGCACCCTTCTCTCTCTACTTCTGAGGTCTCTGGATCTATATGTATTAAATAGGTACTTGATATGTTAAAGTATGCTTGAAAATAATACCTGGAATAAATCTTTCGTTCATATCCCAAAATTATGTTTGTTCTCATATTAGTAGGAAAGAGGTAATCAATAAAAATCTAAATATGATCTAGTAGTAGTAGTTATCACATACCATTTTAAGGTAGAAGTTCATAATGAGAAATGGGAATTTAGTCAAGGAATTTTATTTTTAAGATTCAGACTCCATTAGCAAGTCACATTGATCTTAGTTGAAGGAGTCTTATCAGTATCAGAAGTTAATGAATTTAATACCACCTCTTGAGGAGGTAAAGCACGTTTGGAGTCTAGTAACTTGATGGTTGTTAATCTGAAATAATTAGTGAGCACTGGATTTGAATATGTGTAAATTTGTGTTTAGGACTGCTCACAGAATAAATGGATCATCTTTTAGACAATACTATTATTTAAACTAAAATAAGTCAATAATATTTGCTGATCTATATGCTAAGTATCATTCTAGGTCTTGAAGAAACCATCTCTAGTGGAATTTACAATCCAGTGAGGCAGCTACGGTAGGATACAGCAAAATACATAAATATGATTACAGAGAGGTGAATGTATACTATGTGAACACTGGCAACAGAATAATGGGGTGAATCAGTGAAACTTCAGAGAAGGTAACTTGAGTTGGTTCTTTATTTTTTCTTTTAATGATTTATTTATGTATTTGAAAGACAGAGTTACAGAAAAGCAGAGGCAAGGACAGAGATAGAGCTCTTCCATCCACTGGTTCACTTCCCAAATGGCCATAATGGCTGCAGGTGGGCCAGGCTGAAGCCAGGAGCCAGATGCTTCTTCTGGGTCTCCCACATGGGTGCAGGGGCCCAAGGACTTGGGCCATCTTCTACCACTTTCCCAAGCCATGGCAGAGAGCTGAATCAGAAGTGGAGCTGGGTCTCGAACCAGCGCCCATGTGGGATGCCAGCCCTGCAAGCAGTGGCTTTACTCACTATACCACAGTGACAGTTTTACGCACTATGCCACAGCACCAGCCTCCATTGAGTTGGTTCTTGAAGTATCAATATATTAACCTTAAGTTAAAGAGCAGTGAGATGGAATAGGGCACTAAAGACAAAACAGTACATGTAAAGGCCCACGGTCATGAAGGACCTGAAGCAATGTATGCTCAATGTGAAGGATGGTTATATATTTTTCTGACTAGGAAATGTGCTTAAATTATATGAAAAACAAAAATTACAACCCAGGTCATATAATCATTTGATTTCTAATCATTATTTGTTATTAAAATATGACCATCTATTTAAGCAACAATCACAAAAGTACTTACTTATAATAGTGTTCCCAGAGATTTCTGTATCTTCCTTGACCTGACATGTCAAACACTGTAAAAGATAAACTACAGAAAAAAAGAGAAAGCAAAGTATGATTATAAGCTACTAATTGAAAGTATAACTTTTACTTAAATTATTTTCAATTAAAGAAATCATCTTTGATGTACAATATTCAGTATGAGCCCGTGTTCAAGAAAAAGCTCCATAAAGTAAAAATATGATTTTTTTCTATTGAAAAAATATAACATTATAACATTGTAATATATATAATAATATATATTATATATATAATAATAATATATATAAAAATATAACATTATAAAGAGATGTTTTCTTTGCTAGTCAGATTACTAGAGTGTGTGTAAATTCTAAATTATGAAAAATAAACCAGAGGTAGTGGTACAAATAATCTAAAAATTTTTGAAAAAAAACATTATTTTTGCAAGAGTAGAAAGAATAACCAGGTAGATCTAATGTTGTTATTTTTCACCCACAACTTTTTATTCACAGGAATGAAGTGGATTACCTGGATGATTTGAATTTCTCTATGTTGAATCCTATTGTTGGAACTATATCTTGAGATTGAGCCTTTAAGAAAAAGAAGGAGTTTAGATATTTACAAGTACCAAAAATGAGTTTTTCCTCAAACCTACCACTGAAGAGAGGATCAGATTAAGCAAAATTAAAATTTTTCTAATACGATGACTATATATATTCTTTATAGAAGTTTAAGGCTTACTGATTATGAATCTGCATCACATCTATGTCATAATTAACATGTTGTAGCTTATTGGAAGTTACCAAGGACTTAAAAGTTTTTATAAATGGTTTAATAAGTTACCTGGAGTTCACATGTAGGACTTTCTATCTTTCAACACATACTTATTGAGTTCATATATGTTCTGAACTGTCCTTACATCAAGAAGGTCCCTGCTCTCAAGGAGTTTATAATCTAGAGATGGCAAACAGAAATAAATAACTAAGTAACAAAGGAATACAATTTTTAGGAGTGAAAACTGCAAAGGTGATTGAGAATGAGAGGCATTGGGACAGGAGAAGTTGGTATAGTATGGAAGAAAAGTGCTTAGGAAGGCATCTTTGAGGAGGTGACATTTGATCCATAAGTGCATAATAGGAAGGGGAAAAGGTATGACAAATTCTTGGCAAACAGCTTTCCAGTTAAGAGAAATCAGATACTACAGTGAATCTAAGGCAGGAAGGAACTTGCCACTCAGGAAAAGTAGAAAGTCTGAATGTCTAAGAACACTGAATAAGTTAAAGAGTGCTATGCTGAGGTTAAGTGAGGTAGATCCCAGAAGGCCATAGCAGGGAATACTGTATGCAGTAGGAGATAGGTTGACAAGTCCCATGGGCAATTACAATACATTATAAGGATAACCTAACTCTTCAAATGCCACCTAGAATTTACAGTATCAAAACCATCCTCTGTTTCAATAAAAATCCACCTACTTTCTGATCTATATGTTTAAAAGTTATTCTTGACTCCTGTCATTTATATTCCATATTATAATCATTCTCTAAGCTTTATTTGTTCAGGCTCTTTATTTGTTCTAAGCTTATTAGTTAATTTCATACTTTGAATTACTACACTAGCCTCCTAACTGCTCCTAATTGGCTATCCTGTATTAAAGAACTTAAATAACTTCAATAAGTCTTAGTTTTCTCAAAAGTAAAATAAATTATTATTACTAACTCATAAACTTATGAGAATTAAATGAGTTAATGAATACAAAATATTCAACACAGTGTTGGATCCCTAGTAAATATTCAATAAATAATTGCTATTATTATACTTCCCTGATTTTACTCTGATTCCCACCCATTTTATTTTCTACACTGTCACAACTAAAAAAAAAAAATCCCCTTCAGTCTGACTTCTTGCTTTTCTGTGAAAGCAAGAATCATACAAGAGAGATTTTTGCTTCATATTATTATCTTCACTCTGGTTATCTCCTTTAGGGAAATTTAAATTCAAAGGGAAAGAAACTGAAAAGTCATTGGAGCTTGTTTACCTTAAACGTAATGTGCTACTCAGACTTACCCCTAATGGTAGAGCTAGAAACATGCCAGGGGATTCTAATTCAATCCCACCAAGGTGGCATGTACCAATGCCATCTTAATGTTAAAGTGATCAGTTTCAGTTCATAATTGATCAAAAAGATAGAATTAAGTGTCAAAGGGATTACATAAATAAGACCAGTGCCTGCAAATAATAATTGCTAGAATTAAAAAGGAGAGAATGATCCTTCATGGGAAGCAGGATACACAGCAGACTCATAGAATGGCAAATGCCCTAAACAGCACTCTAGCCTCAGAATCAGCCCTTAAGGCATTCGGATCTGGCTAAAAATACCCATAAGAGTTTCTCAGGCATGGAAAGCTAAGACACTGTGGCAAAAACAAAAACAAAAAACCTAAATGAAAGATCTCTGCGAGTGAGATCCCAGTGGAAAGAATGGGCCATCAAAGAAGGAAGTACCTTTCTCTGAAGGGAGGAGAGAACTTCTACTTTGAATATGGTCTTGTCTAAATAAGTTCATAGTTGGTGAACTCAAGAGGCTTCCATAGCCTTGGCAGCTCATGACAAGAGCCTCGGGTGATTACTGACATCATAAATAAGAGTGTCAATTGTTAAATCAACAAGGGGAGTCACTGTACACCTGCTCCCCATGTAGGACCTCTGTTCTTAATGTGCTGTACTATGCGAATTAACAGTAAAACTACTACTCAAACAGTACTCTATACTTTGTGTGTCTGCATGGGTACAGTCTGTTGAAATTTTTACTTAGTATATACTAAGTTGATCTTCTGTATATAAATATAATTGAAAATGAATCTTGATGAAGAATAGGATGGAAGAAGGAGTGGGAAATGAAAAGGTTGCGGGTGGGAGGAAGGTTATGGGGGGAAAGCCACTGTAATACAAAAGTTGTACTTTGGAAATTTATATTTATTAAATAAAAGTTGAAAAAAAAACGTAATAAAGTAGGTCAAAAAAAAATGTAATGTGCTAGTGAAAAGGCCCCCAGAGCTGCCCCAGTTTTGTTTTTTCTGAAGTTTTGCTGATTCGAGTTTTCCTTCCATCTATCCTATGAACTATCCTGATATATTTTTCCCAAAAATTTCTTTTTGTTTATGTTAGATAAAATTTATTTTCTGCTACAAAGATTCCTACTTCATACCTTGTGGTTCCTTCATTGACCAACAAGTTTTGGAATAAACAGTTTCCTAATTTTTGTTGTCACCAAAAACTACATAATTTTTATTCAAATATGTCAATCATGTGATACAATCATCAACTGTTATTATGAAAAAAATTTCAAACAGCCAAAAAAATAGGCAGGTTAAAAGTCTGAAGAAATCTCAGAAAATATCAAAATAGTAATTCTATTTTCATTGAACTGGAATTAGAGTAATTTTGTGCCTTTCCACAATCACTCAGCTTCTTCAAAATCTCTAATTTAACTTATTTTACTTATAAGGATACCCCTCCCTACTAAAGTTCCAGTGGAAAGCAATTAGGAAAAACAAAACTCCACAAATTAATCAGGATATAGAATAAGATATGTGAGTGCTTCTGGATTCAACTGAAACTCATTTTCTCAAAAGTATTCCAAAAGATAGTTTCTAATATTGATTTCCCTATGCTTTATCCAAAAACAAACATGAAGGCATTTCAAAAAGCTCATAATAGGCCAGCGCTGCAGCTCAGCAGGATAATTCTCTGCCTGCGGCACCGGCACCCGGGGTTCTAGTCCCGGTCGGGGTGCCAGATTCTGTCCCAGTTGCTCCTCTTCCAGGCCAGCTCTCTGCTGTGGCCCAGGAAGGCAGTGGAGAATGGCCCAGGTGCTTGGGCCCTGCACCCGCATGGGAGACCAAGAGAAGCACCTGGCTCCTGGCTTCGGATCAGCACGGTGCAGGGGCCGCAGCGTGCCGCTGCAGTGTGCAGCCACAGCGGCCATTGGGGGGTGAACCAACGGAAAAAGGAAGACCTTTCTCTCTATCTCTCTCACAGTCCACTCTGCCTGTCAAAAACAAAACAAAAACAAAAACCTCATAATGAATGCATATTATGAAAAATGTATGCATGGATTCCAAAACCTTTTTGCACCAAAATAAACTTATATTTTAATTTCATTTGATAATGAACATTCTGAAGTACACTTGAACATTTTTTTTTCATTCTCTAAAGTGGACAGAGAATTGTGTAAAGCGTACAAAGACTAGGAATTATTAGCTAAGCGGAACAGGCCATCTGAGACAGTCCATTCCATGGATAGACCAACATCAACAGAAACAGAACAAGATTTCTAAGAGACCCTATTTGGTTAGTTTATTTAGTCTGCTAATAAAATTAAAAAAAAAATCATTCATCAATCTAATCAGCCAATAAATATATTTAAATGCCAAGCATTATTCTGTATTTGGTATTCAGTGCTAAACAAGACAAGATTGACACTCTATTATAAAAAGAAAGTTAATAAGCAAGTTATGAACTCAAAATGTAAGATAACTTCAGTTTGTTTTAAAGATTAAGAATATAAAACTACATGATGTAATAGAATGAGATCATGTACAACAGAAAGCAAGGGAAAGACTCTTCAAAGAAAATATACAGGTTGTGTCTCTAAGAAAATGACTCCTGGACTATATTTTTCACAACAGTGGTCACATTAAAGTATCCTCCCTCTCTTCCTATTCATCAGCTTTGAAGATGCCAGCAATCTCAATATATTAACAATAGATGATAAAATTATAATAAATAAATATAATATAATTATAAAATAAATATTAACAACAAATAAACATTAATAAACATTATTTATTAACAATAAATAAATATGAAAAATCAGTTTGGGTGGCCAGCACTGTGGCATGTCAGGTTAAGCCATAACATGGGACATTAGCATCCCTTATCAGAACACTGGTTTGAGTCATGGCTGTTCCCCTTGTGATCCAGCTCCCTGCTAACGTGCTGGGGAAGGCAGCAGATGATGGCCCAAGTACCTGAGCCCCTGAGATCCACATGGGAGATATAAATGGAGTTCTGGGCTTCTGGCTTCAGCCCCAACCATTGTGGCCATTTGGGGGTGAACCAGCAGATGGAAGATAGTTCTCTGTCGCTCCCACTCTATCTGTCACTTGCCTGTGAAATTAATAAATGAATCTTTAAAAAAACTGTTTGGATTTGAAAATATCTATAAACTAATACCTAGAAAATTGAGAGGTAGAAAGGGACACAGAAAGAGAGGAGACAGCTTCCATTCACTAGTTTACTCTCCATATACCCCTAACTGCTGGCTGGCTGATAGGACTGCTAACACATAACGTTCACTGGTTTATTCTCCATACACTGCTAACTGCTGGGTGGTTTTCCAGATTTCTAAAGTATCTGGATGGCAGAAACCCAATTATCTAAGCCATCAGCACTGCTTTCCAGCCTCTGCACCCACAGAAGCTGGAGTTAGGAGCCAGAGCTGGGTATAGAACCCAGGTACTCTGATACGGGACGTAGGTGTCTCAACTCGCATGATAACTACTAGAACAAATGCCCAAACCTAAAAGCTGACTTTTCCCACAGAAATAAATGAAACAACTTTACTATAAGATGTGCAATTCTTTTGGAAGGCATTTACTAACATAGCAATTTAGACGTCCATGATTAATTCACTTAATTTATTAAAAATAATGTTCTCACAGTGGATATAAGCTCTTGGGTTCAAAGTAGGAAGGAAGCAAATGTTAAATGTGCCTGAGTGACAGAAGTTTTAGAGCCTTTCAGAGGCCCCAATTTAGGTGAGCCCTTCACTATTATTACCAAGTTAAGAAAAAAAAAAAAGTAAAAGCAAATTACACTTTCTCAGGACCTAGAGGTTAATTTTTCTGATGAGATAAGATAGTTGTTCTAGCTTTAAGACTCAAGAAGTGATTTCAGGTGCACAAAAGCACTGTTTTTATGGGGGTTTTCTCTACATGCAGCAGAACCTACTCTGGATCAGGTGTTGAATGAGGTAGCTTTATACAGCTTTCAATTACTAAAGTAATAGATTCATGCCTATATTGCTTAAAAGCATCTTGCTTACTACTACTGATATACACACCACATTTCTGTGAAAAACTGTCTGCTTATCCACAGAACCTGTAGAGGTGATTCATTTTTCCCCTTGTTTTGTTCCTCCTATAAACAGGAACTGAAAAAGCAGTGCAATCTAAAAGTAAACTCAGCAAATTTATGACAATCTTTTGGAGAAAAAAAATTCTGAAAAGAACATTCCAGTATAATCATCAAGATTTGCCTTTTTCTGCATGAAATTCACTGCAAATTGTAGTTGACAGATATTACTTTAAGGTATTCCAAGTTTAAAAATGATTCCACAGCATAATTATACGAAGTTATGACATCATACAAATAATTCTGCATATTAACTTTCCCTAGTAGCAGAGAATACATACAGCATCTAACAATGATACTTACATTTGAAGGTTTAAGTTTGTTGATGATTGTTGTTTTGCCACTATTATCTAGACCAAGGCACAAAACATGAACCTCCTTCTTCTTCAGGCCAAGCAAGCCTGAGAGTCTGTCTAGCAATCCCATAATGTGACTCAAATATGACAAATCAGCTGCAAGTAACAAAAAAAAGCTCTAATATCTAAAAACACCTGAAGCATGCAAAATACATAATTCTTAAAAATTTAAGGAAACATAATGATACTGTGAAAACCTTGTCAATGTAGCTTTGTAATTAGTCAATAGAGGATAAGCTGATTACCACAAAGGAGACTTAACAGAAACGCAGAGTGGCAGCTTATAACCCCTGGCAACATAGATTAACAACCTTGAAATGACAACATTTCTCATTGTCATTTATAATATTTAAGAGGAAAACACAGGCTCCATAACATGCAAACTCAACCAACTGTGATAATTCAAAGTATCAAGTATCAGGCTGCAAGTATCAATTAGGATGCAGCATTCCGGGAAATATGGAACAATATAAGGGCAATAATTTTGTATTTAATATGACACTAAAATTTAAACTGTAAGACAGACTAGATCCATTGTTTTAACTCTCAGCTTAAGGATTGATTGGCATTTGTAGATTATTTTAAATTAATCTTCTGCTATGAAGCAATTTACATACAATTTATCATCTTAATTCAAAGCAAATTTACTATTTACTTATCACACTAAACATATAAAATATACACGCTTGTTTTTTCCATTTTCCATACAATTTTGAACAAATTTTTAAAAATATGACCACTTCTCACATTTTCCTCCTTTACAACTTCTACTCTAATACAATGGTTGTGAAAAGACTGATGCTTATACATTCACCTTTCAAAGTAGCTGGTGTTGAAACTTTTCACTGGTTTTTCACGTATTATCAAATATTTACTGAATTATGTTAGGGCAAAAAATTTATAAGAGAAGTCAGTTTTTCTAAAAATGTAATCACCTTTATTGAAGCTGTTTGTGCACTTCTTTTTTTAGTAATTATAGCTTTCCTCTGTAATTTTATTTTCTGCATTCATAAATAAAGGCAATAAAAGACAAGAAAGCTGGTCAACATTTCTTTACCATGTTCAAAATTCATAGTAAGAGGCACAATTGAAATTTTCTGTAAGTATCCACTCCAGTAGCCAGGATTCTCAACCCTAGCTGCACTCTGGAATCAACTGTTTAATCTGAATTTCTGAAGATGGAAACTGGGCAACTATACTTTTAAAAGCTACATAGTGGAGTTGGCGTTTATCCTAACAGTTAGAACACTGGCTTACCACAATGGACTACTTGAGTTCATTTCCTAGCTCTGACTCCTGACTCCAGCTTCCTGCAAAGCCACCAAGGAGACCCAGATTGAGTTCCCAGCTCCTGGCTTCTGCTTAGCCCAGACTCAGCCACTCTGGGCATTTGGGGAGTGAACCAGCAGATGGCAGCTCTCTCTGTCTCTCAAATAAACAAATAAAATAAAAACTACACAGTGTTTCTGATAGGTAGTCACTGCTGAGAACCATTGGGTTTCAGAATAAAGTCCAAACTTCAGTGAATACCTTTAACAATGTTCACAATTTGGTTCTAATCTATCTTTCCACTTTCTGTTTCCACTCTTTGTACATCGATTTAAATGTTCATGGATGTTCTCTGTGATACTGAAACGAGGATTCATGTTGTCAGAAAAATCCAGAAGAATCAGGATGTTACTCAAAATTTTTTTAACTCTTTACTAGTTTATTAAAATTAATGACTTGGAAGATAAGCTACAGGGAGAGCTCCTGGTGGGGCAGAGAAGGAAACAATGACTTGTATTTTCTAAACTTTAAATAAGTGTGTTAAATGAATTGTTATACACACTACTCCAGATCAGTGCTCCTATTTGGCTCTTAGTTTTCTGATGATGAAATTTCCATTAGAGTTTCCACATCCAAAAAAAAAAAAAAAAAAAAGGCCCAAGTTGAGCAGTCTTAAAACCATCAATGAAATAAAATTTCGCCCAAACCACTTCAATGCATTTTCTAGTCCCTAGCACTGACCGCCTGATCCTGCTACTCCTTTTCCACCTCTCACGTTAGAAACAACTCCTCGCGTGGAAGGAAAATCAAAACAAAACCTTGAGGAAGAGCCAAGAGGAATTCTAACGCTGACCGGAGGGAGCGGGGGAGTGGCTGGGGACTGTAAAAATCCCGGGGTTTTGATGTTAGCTTGGCTGCCCCAGGAGCTGGTGAGGAACAGAAGGGACGCACTCACTCGTACCAGGCCCCGGGAAGGGAATCTGGTACGGGGGCTCCCTCAACCTTCTCTGCTCTGCCTCGGTATGAAAGATCGCCGTTCCTGACTAAAACCGTCTCTACAAGTTGGAAGAAATGACATCCCCTACCTCAGGCCGAACATCCACGCCTGGTCTGCCGCCTTGGCGCGCCGCGTTTCCCTGGCAACAAAAGCTTCTTCCGGTCCCGAAGCCACGCCTCTTTGGGAGTATTAGCAGTGCTCTGGCACCTGGGGTGGTAAAGCTCCTTGGAAAAAGGCCAGAGGCTCGCTGAGCAACTATTAACGAGGGGTGGGAGGTGAGCAAAGGTTAGGGGCGCCGGGCTGGGGGCCGGTTTCCTGCGAGGGACCTTGCCGTCTTCGGTGGGGCATGACGGGAGTTGTAGGCGCGCGCACAGCCTGCCGGGAAGCGCGTGTCTGCGTTCGCTGCGCTTCTATGGGCGTGGATTCCCCCAGCTGCTTCGCCCAGGGCGTGGCGTCTGTGTGACGCCAAGGCTGAGGCCCTGGGTTGTAGACTGGCGCAGACTCAGCGGGGTGACCGCGACTGCTGGATACGGTGGTACCCACTGGGACAGGATGTGCGCCGTTGTTGCCCTGTACCCACGGCACCGAGCCCCCTCCATGTTCTGATTGAGGAAAGCTTTTAAAGTTGGGCGGGAGAGGAAAGACACTGGTGCCGAAAGTCAGGTGTAATTCGAGGAAGGAAGTATGTACACCTGCTTCCTAGCTGCCTGATCTCCCGAAGGTATTTCCACCTGGCATAATATCCTGTGATTAGTTTATAGTCCCTCGGATCAGATCGGCTGGTGGTCGGAAGACACATTAATAGTCAAAATCGAAAGTTAGCCGCCTTGTTAAAAAGTGTTTGGCTTTCACAGGCTCAGATGATCCTCAAATAGAAAATATTTAGACATACACTTTGTCCCACATTTTTATTACCACGTTTTCCAGTAGACAGACTGCAAGGTGTCCAGCGTGTAACAAATCTTCCCAGGCAGACGAATCAATTAGTTCACAGGCTTTTATTGGGGTTCCGCTCCCGGGCGAGGTTCCCCTGTCCCAACAGAGCAGGCGCTGGGGAAGTCGCGTGTCAGGGGTTGGGAGAGCTCCTTTTATAGATACAGGGTGTGGGGGTTAAAGGTTGAGGCGGGTCTGATCCTCATTGGTTGACCTTTAGGCACCCGCGGAGACCTTGACAAGGACTCTCCATTCCCGGAAGTATATGCCTTCCCTCCTTGCGGATCCCAAAGCTGCCATCTGAGAGGAGTTGGCCAAATAGGGTCAGCAGCATTGCAGGCAGAACTGTAAATTTCCTGTTAGAGATGCCACCTGTCCAGCTCTCCTCCCAGGCCAGGTAGGTAATGGAAGTCAACAGGGTGTCTTCCCCAAGGAGGTTCACACCTCCCTTAGGATGTACTCCATGTGAAGAGATAGATAGGTCTGGGCCTCATAACTGGCAAGGCCTAACGTCCACCTTCTGTCAGGTTCTATTTGACTCTCAATCAGAAATCTTAGTTGTGGCTTAGACAGCACCTTTCTTGGGTCCTCTAATAATGACTCCATCCTTTGTTCTAGACCCTGTCTAGCCCACTTGGGTCTCATTCCTTTGTAATCATAGCCTCTACTCTAACATCAATGGGTCTGCTCCCAACCTGTGCGTACTGATGGTCCTCTCCTCCACTTAATGTTGTATAATTATTCAGAATTTCTCTAGAGACAAACCCCACTACCTGAAGAAGTTGAGTGGCCTTTCTCCCGGTCTTGGCTGGGGTCAGATTTAAGCCACATCCATCAAACTGTCCCCACAAGGGTCCAGAGACCACCCCACCCCCCCATTTCCTAATGCCACTCTTAGGATCTGTCGCTCCCCCTCTTCGTGGAGGAACGACACAGGACCCTGCGCTGTTCTTTCGTCTGCTCGGCCCTCCCCGGGTTTGCTGCTGGTTCTTCCCGGGTTGGCTACTATCCCTTCCACCTCCGTGGAAGGGCAGTTCCCCCTGGCCACATTCCCCACTTCCGCAGGGGAGCGGCACACCGCCGGCCGGCTTTCTCGGGGGGCTGCACAGGTGTTCCTTCAGCTAGATGTTCCCCTTAGGTGTTCCCGGTGCATGCCGTCTCTCTCCTCCTTTATAGTCCTCCTCCGCCAATCCCAACTCGGCTGCCCACACGCCGAGTACGCTGCTCTCCAATCAGGAGCAAGTCCTACAGTTTATTGGTTGAACTGGAGGCAGCTGTGCGGAAGCTGTTTACTTCTCTCCCAGCGCCATATTGTGGGAGAGCAGATGCATAGAATAAGTCTTAATTCCAGTAACTCAGTCCAGTCCGGGCTGCTCCCCACAGGATCGTTGGTTGCTATTCTCACCCTGACTTGTATACTACAGTGTCTAAGTGTTTACAGCAGGTGATAATGGAATGAACCGAGGCCTTCAGCAACCAGGCGGTCAACCAGATGCGTTCTCCATCCATCCATGCCTCTGACGTGCGACTTCCCGGCACCCGCTTTGTTGGGACTGGGGAACCTCACCTGGGAGCGGAATCCCAATAAAAGCCTGTGAATTAATTGATTCGTCTGTCTGGGAAGATTTGTTACGTGCCAGACACCTTGCACAGACCACAGATGAAATCATTTCAAAGATCTATGGAATTTGTTAATCTCTCACTTTGGAGCCCTGGCAGCCTTCCTCTCTACCCCTGTGAAATGCTTTTATGACTTAAAACGTTTCTCAAAGAGGAGGTTTAATTTCTTCATTTCCCTTTATATCCACGGGCATTGGGTTTTATTTTCCCTTTTCAACTAACCAGTGTTGTTTACTATCCTATCTGTTCTTTGGCTTGCCTTTAGTTTGGCCTATTAAATGGACTAGGAGGGAATAAAAAGAGACTAGGAAAAATGATGTCCAAGTAATGGTGTTGGAGGTGTGCACATACTATTATGAGTTGTTTGTTTATTTGCCATTTTTCCATATACCAAATGTTGTTATATTAGTTTTATAGTGAAATATAAATGTGGCCTGAAATTCTGAATCTATTGAAAGGCAAAACAAAAGGAAAAGTTTGCTGAGGCTCCGTTGATTAAGTCCCAACTTGGGGCAGCTGCATCCCATATCCTGGATGCTTGGCTTCAGATCCAGGTCCTTTCTGGGAAGCAAGAGTGATGACCCAAATATTTGGACTCCTGCCACACAGTAGGGAGACAGGCTGGGATTCTGGCTCCTGGCTGTAGACTGGTTCATCCCTGGCTGTTGCAGTCATTTGGGGAGTGAAACAGTGAGTGGATGGAAGATTTTTCTCTCTCTATCCCTTCTTCCTTTCCTTGCCCCATATCTCTTTCAAATAAATAAAATTTTTAAAGGAAAAGCTAATCCTTATAGCTGCATAACCTGAAGTATTGACATACAAATGTACTTGTAAAAATGGAGTGTTGGGACATATTCTTTATCTACTGTGTGGTCTTAGGCTAATTAACCAGTCTCTATGTTTCAGCTTCTGAACCTTCATAAAGATACTGATATATTAGTTTATCCAGTGGATTTGTGGATTAGAGACAACAAATATAAATGTTTGGCATGTCATAGGTTTTCAATAAATAATTTAACTTCTTGAAATTCTTAGTATTTGAATAAGATAGACTCAATTCTTAAATATGGTTGCTCATTAACTTCTGATGGTAAATGCATTTACAGGAAAGTGTTAATCACTTTTCTGTGTGTCTGAGTATTGTGACACACATTGATAAGAGCTGGGAGCTAATTTGCTTATAGCCAGATAATTTTTTTAACGTGGATGTACTTAACTTTTCTTGTTAAAAAGCAGTTTTTTCTGCTCCTATGTTGAATTACTCTATTTTACTTAGTACAAAAACATTGGTTGTACACTATAAATATAAGTTGTATATTGAGCATCCAACTTTTTAGCATACACAGGCAGACAGATAATTCTTTCTAAAAGATTATTTAGGGGCCAGCACTGTGGCATAGAAGGTAGAGGCGCCACGTGCAATGCTGGCATCCCATATGGATGCAGGTTTGAGTCCTGGCTGCTCCACTTCTGAGCTAGCTTTCTGCTAATGCACCTGATAGGGCAGCATAGGTTGCCCAAGTGCTTGCCCCCGAACCCATGTGAGAGACCTAGAGGAGGTTCCTGGTTCTTGGCTATAGATAGGCCTGGCTCCAGATGTTGTGGCAATTTGAGGAGTGAACCAACCACAGGATGGAACATCTTTCTTTCTCTCTCTCTCTAACTCTGCCTTTCAAATAAATAAATTTTAAATAAAAAGATTATTTATTGAGGGTGGAGGAGAAAGATCTGCATCCCTAATTTACTCCCCAAATGCCCACAAGATCTGGGGAGCTCAATCTGGGCCTCCCACATGGTGGCAGGGACCCAACCTCTTGAGCCTCACTTGATGACCTTCATGGTGCACATTACCAGAAAGCAGGAGCTGTGACTCCAGTGACACCCTGGTATGGTATGCAAGTGTCCCAAGTGTTTTCTTAACTGCTGTGCCAAACACCTGTCCCAAACAGAGAATTCTTTTACAAAAAAGAGAGCTGGGTAAATAATTATCTCAAGAAGTGTCGTTGGTTTTATGGCTTATTATTACTAGAGATGAAATCTGGTCATGAAACCCACAATGTACTCAATAATCTGGAAAATGTCAGTCTTGAAAATGTCAACCTTAAAAAAACATAAATATTTCATATGGTTCAATCTGCTGTTTTGGTGCTTTGCCAACTGAAACTGCTCTCTAGTGCACACTCCAGCTCAGCATAAAATTGTTCCACTTGATTTAAGAACTTAGTTGACTCTATTTTATTATAAGAATAACAAGCATTAAAAATAGCATAGGATTTTCTCAAAACTGTATTAGAGAAATTTTAGATATTTTCTTACCAGTTTTAATTTCATACTAGGTTTCAGAACCTCAGCAGGAAAATTATAAAAATAGTGGTTATTTTAATTAATGCAGGATATTTTCTATGTATTTTCTTTTAGGAACTTTTAAAAGAATACAGAAAATCCAAGATTTATAGGACATTTGGGGGTGAACATTGATGATCTAAAGCTTTGTTTGAACCATTGAATGCACATCTTTTTGTCATCTGCAACTTGTGTACAGTATAGCTTCTGCAATGAACAATTCACTTGAATTTCATAAATATTTTATCAACATAAAATCACTACAAAAATAGATAGCAGTTATTTATGGTGATTTGTGTGAAATTCTGTCTAGACCTTAATGACGTTAAACATTTTGAAATATTACAACTTTAATTTTGCATCCAGAATTAGGAAAATATCCAGTATGTTTTGAATATTGGTCCCCACAGTCTTCTGTTGATGGTACTAGGAGGGCAGAAATAACCTAACCAGGCTCTAAAGA